CTCGTCCCGCGGTGGAGTGGAAAGAGATTTCGCGAGATTCCCCCCGATGCGGCAAAAGGAGAGGAAGACCCCTTTCTCGGGGGGCGCCAAGTCCCCCTCGTTAAGAAGGAAGGAGGAGAAAACCGTTCGATCGCCGATCGCGTATCCGCCCGAAAAGGACGAGCGGGTAATATTCCCGAAGGTACAGAGAAAGGAGATCGGGAATCAGATAAACATTTGCGATTGCTCGAAGGAAATATCCCCGAATAATTGGTCCAAGTGCGAGAAAAGTGTGGGCGAGTGTTCGATCGTCGAGAACGGAGAATTGGGACAAGATGCGATATTGGAGAATTCCGAGGCGCGAGATCGAAGAACGAACTTGGACAACTCGGAGAATAATTTTAATTCGGACGTGATCGAGTCGTCGACGAGCCAATTGAACACGAATCTGGAAACGGACGATACCGCGATGAAAGACGTGGACAGTTTGAGGAATAACGGGGAGGAGGAGGAGGAGGAGAACGAGAACGAGGAGGTTCAAGAAATCTATTCGGCCAAGGATTTCGATTGCGACAGCGATAACAGCGTGGAGAATCGGGTGCAGGAGACGATGAACGAGGCGAAATGTTCGAAGAAGAAAACGGAAGAGAAAACGGCGACGAGGCAAACGCTTCCGAGTTTACGATCGATCATTTTGTCCGAGTCGTGCGTGAAACTGAGCCAACGCGTTCAAATGGAGGATTCGTCGGTGTCGAATCGATCGACAGCCCTGAAATCCCGCCGGTCGAGAAGGGTAGAGATAGAGAATAGAATTCGGGAGAACGTGAGTATCTTGAATGAGAGCAGCGACAGTTTAGCGTCGGGTGGAACGGCATGGATAGACATCACGGATGTGAAGCAGGTCGAGACCGTGGAAGTGGAGACCATCGAGGAGATAGGAACGAGGAATAGAAGTATCAAATTTCGAATATTGCCGGAGATAAAGGGGACAGGTGCGCTCGCGAAGAGGAGCTACGACGATAAAGAGAGAAGCGATCCTCAAACGTATTGGGAGAAAGCGTCGAAAGCAACGAGGAATCGTTTGATCAATCTCGATCCGCCGTATCAGGGGGCGAGCAGGTTTCTTAAGAGAAATCCAAAAGTTCATATCCTTCCCCCTGTTCCAAGTAGCTCTTCCTTGGTTAATCGCAGGTAGGAATAGGAATACGTTTATTTACGTAGGAACGATCGTTATTAATTTTTACGACGCCTTTTTATTATCCATTATTCTCTTATTATTTGACTTAACGGGCAACCGTTCGATCGCCCGACCGACCGTTTCCTTTTATTCCTTTCGTTTGTTAATTCGAGTTTTTAAGAGGAGAAGAGACAGAAACGATGAATTGAAAATCGTTATTGCAATTTTCGAGAGTTAGTAAAAATTTTTTTACTATCCCTTTCCTTTTCACATTGTACATACAATATACGTATACGTATATTTAATGCGAAATGAAAATATTAATTTTCGCAATAACGGACAAGTTATTACTTCTAACGATAGCTAACGATATTGTAGGAATATAAAACTGCCATTACATCCCGTATGGAGCAATTATGTGCGCAGAAGACCGGATTTTAATCTCTTACTTAGCAGTAGAACGTAAGTCCCAATCGTGGATGAACGAATCATATTTCCAATATTCCACGGATTTTTCTTGGAATTATTATCCAAAAAAAAAATTGAGAAAAATTCTTTCGCTATTCTAATAAAAATTGACTTCGTTTCGATATTTTGGAAAATTCATTTGGTTCTTTTTTTTTGTTTTTTCTCTTTTTCTTGAAACGAAAGTTTCAAACCCTTTGAATTAAAACATCACGAGGCATGAATCGCAGCCGCAAATTTTAATCTTGGCACGTTCTTTGATGTATCGCATGTACAACGCCACACGAGTTTACCCGTCACAATCGTACAAATATTTGCTGCGAAAACCGGGTAAAGAACATGCTTTGCATGTTTGGCCTGGGCTGAAAGGCTTGTCCTCCTCCCTGTTTTACCTTACATATCATTGTCTTTTCACAATATCGCATTATCGATCTTCTTGTTCATCGAATGCTTCTTAGGAATAGGAAATCAGAAGAATCGAACGATATAATGTAAGCATGAAGCGAGAGAGAGAGAGAGATGGCAAATTTCTTCGACGAATTTTCGTTTTATCGTCTTCCGTTTCCTCTTCCACGCGACCATTTTTACCACGTTCTTTACTTCGAGCATATTCTCAAATATGCTTTTTAATGTATTCTTTGTTGTTTTTCCTTTTTTTGAAACGAGACTTTTACATCACACACATATATTTATATACACACACATACAATGCACCGATGTTCGAGCAAAAAAAAAAGAAAAGACGTTTTTTTTCGAAATCTTTCGTATTTGGAATTATTAAAAAGAAAAAAATATCGATCCATCTATAATCAGCCGTGGAAAAGAGACAAAACATTTTCTGAAAAGAAACGTCTCGTTGAATAGAAGGAGGGATGAAATTTTGAATCTGATTTTCAGCGGGAAGGATTACGATCCTTTCCTATTGGCGGAGCAACAAATGAACGATCTGCTCTCAGACACCAGCGAGCAATCCGTGGCGGATAGCTGTCCATCGATCGAGCAAAATTCCCGCCAAAAATCATTCCCTCTCTCTCATTCCTCGGCATTCGTCAAATATCCTTGCCAATCCTCGCCCAATCCTTCGAGAAACGTCTCCTCCTCGATGCTTCCCCCAACCGAACTCGATGACATCACCTCGGACTTCTCGAGCGATTCCACCGAGACGAACTCGTTGTCCCGGGAGCTTCTTTTCTCTCTCAAGGATGAGAAAGAACGGACGAAAGATTCGAGAGGAACGAATCCAGAGAGGAGATCCCCGGTCAGGGAATTGGGTAGACGGGTGATCATCGATAAATCGAAAGCGTTGGGGGGGGACGAGTTGGTCGAGGAGGGGAACAAAAGCGTGGTGGCCGAGGCTCGTAAAATCGTGGAGCCTAGAGCGTCGGTAAAGATGATCCGTCCTATCGTCGATCGTTCCCTGTCCGTTCGCGCCTCTTCCGCGCCCAAGGCTGGCCAAGAACGCGGGAAAAATTCCGTCCCCAAAATCCATTCCCAAAACGAGAATGTATTACCGTCACGTAAAAATAAGAATTCGAACGGGAGGAATAATAATTACTCTTTGAATCTTTCGAGCAGCAACCTGAGCCTTAGCTCGATAATATCCTCGGACGTGGACATGAAACGATCGAATTCAGTGTTCGACGAGTTGATGACCTCGTTCGAGGAAGATGAGAATGGTTCGTTCGTTCCATCCTTGAAATCCCTTCTGAAAACCGATTCCTTGTCCAGCCCGGTCCACGCGTCCAGACATCGCAACGGACGTATCAGCGACGAGGAACTGTCTTCGCCCGAGAGCTACAAGAGGCAGGATCACAATAAAATGAGCGGAGATTCCGCTTACAGCAGGTAATTTGATCTTATTCGGGTTTGTCTAATCCTTTATTTATTTTCTATCATTCGAATTCGAAGCACGGTGTTATGCTCCCGCGTTGTGCACCTAAGAATCACCCTTCCATTTCTTCCTCCTCTTTAGTTTAAATCGCAAATATTCACACCACGGACGCAGCACCAACGACGTAGCAGGACGTTTCGACGAGGATACGTCGAGGAACAACCGTCGCGACGGGGACGGTGGTGGGGGGATCCACGTGGTCAAGTGCAAGATGTCCAAGTATTGCCATCAGTGCGGCTTCAAATTCCCCGAAACGGCCAAATTTTGTTGCGAATGCGGCATCAGGAGGCTCGTGCTCTGAAACTTCCGGCTGGTCGACAGCCATGAACGACTTCAAAGAAGAAGCGATCAACTTCGAGTAAATTGTCAAACAATCTTCGATCGTAGACATTTTCTTTTTTTTTTTTTTCTTCTTTTTCTTCTTCTTAGACAAAAGGCAAAAAAAACTTCAAAACTTTAAAATTACAGATTAGATGATAGAACGATTCGAATGTAAACACAAGGTTCAAGAACAAATGTCGAAGCACGGATGATGATAAAAAAAAAAAAATATCGGCACATGAAGGAATTGAAAAGAAGAGTTTATTTTTAAATATTCGTGGAACTATTTAGAGAAGAGAAGAATTTTATTCTTGCAGTTTAGAATTCATAAAGCTATGTATTTATCTACGTATACTCTAGTCACATGTTTGGTCTATTGGTGAAATTTAAGAGAAGAAGTTTTAAAAAAAAAAAGAAATGATGAAATTTATCTGGTATATCAGGGAACACGAGGAACCAGAAGTCTGTCAAGCAAGAGATAGCTGAGATTTCTATTATATATATATTTTTTGATTAGCAAGAGAGAGGATTAGATTTTAAAAATTTAATTGGTTCAAGATTTCACAATATTCAGGATCAAACTTGTTCTATGTGAAGATTCGTATGAAACATTGGTACGAAAATCGAATAAGAACGAATGATAAAAGTTGCAGAACGTAATACAATGATATTGTTCATAATTATTCGAATTATTTTATGTAAATCGCGTAAAATCAATAATATTTTATATTTATTGGAATATATGATAAAATATGAAAAATTTGCTCGAATATATATGTACGTAAGATCTAAATTGTAAATTTGAATCAATAAGAAAAATGCTTGGCTGTAAGAATTATCAGATTTATTCACGTAATAACTTCTGGTACTAAATTCTGATTGATGGAATAATCGATTATTCGAATAATTGTGAACAATCGATTATTGTACGGCATTACGAACGGATATATTTTATTGAAATTTCATTAATTTATTAAGCGTATGCGTTATTGAAAGAGAACTTTACGTTTGCTTTTTGTTGAAAAACAAGTACTTAACGCGAAAGGACGGAAATGATAATTTTATAGTAGCGTTCTCGGTTACATTGTTCATTGTTGGTAATATTACTTACGCCTCTTTTTACTCATTCAGCATTACGTCTGTGAACAAAAGCGATATATTAAAATCCGTCTTCTTTTTCCTTATTCTATTTATTCTCGAATAACAATTTTTTTATGCTTTTTATATACGCGAATGGGCACGAACGAAGAAGAAAAATGAAGATGATGAAAATCGAATCACGTATTTTATAAGTGTGTGTGTATAACAAAACGATCGTAGCGTAAGTTTAAAAAAAAGTATTTATTAGGAATAGGTGAATTGCTAGTACAATTTTCGCGCTCGAATAACAATCGGTTAAATCTAAAAGTTGCTAAAGTTAACAAATTACGGGTGAGTAACCAAATGCACCGTTTTTTTTTTTTTTTTTTTAATATAATAACAAGATAAATAACAACGTAAGATTTTTTATTAAAAGAAGAATGAAAGCTGAATAATAGCCGCTACAAAATCTGCCTAAATAACGTTTAATATTCTATTGATGAAAGCGATTCTTTATTACTTATCCATTCTCTGGTGTCCAACGAATACCAAAGTGAAAAATCGAATCGATTAGCAAAGAGATATAAACCAAACTAATTGTATACTATCCTAATAACGTAACAAATTGTCTATGTTTTGAACTGTATTTTTGCAAGTGCAATAAAGTTATGCTTGTACAAAATACGAGTGCTACCCACTGTGCTACTTTTACAACTATCTCCTGGTACTCCTTGAAAACAGTCATGATTCACCGTTTTACTTCTTTTATTAAATGACAAGCAAACGAATATCACCTTGTTCACGTTAATTATACTTCATACCGCATACACGAACTTCAAGAAATAATGTTGCGATCCGTGAATCATTTGCCGCGATTTATCGCAAGGAGTAATGTAATTATCAGAAATATTGATTTTTTTTCTTCGACGAATAAATCTGATTTTTACTTTTCCGCTTTTCTTCCAGCGATTCCCTTCGCAAACTCAGCATCTGAAGCAGAAAAGTGGTCGGTATTTTCACGTAAATTTCAGTCCAGGTCAGGAAAAAGTGCAATGTGGTACAGACACGAATGTAAAGAATTTTTAATACAAATTTCCCATTTCCGTTCTATCATTTTATCGAATCTACGGTATTTATGAATTATGAATTATTTTAATATCCCATATATTTTTTTTACAGAATTATCCCGTGATAGATCATTGTTACGATGTTGTGGTTGTGGGCGCGGGTGGTGCAGGATTGAGAGCCGCCTTTGGTTTAGGTAACTTTATCACAAATCACATTTCAAAATCGAGATAACGATATTATTCTTTTTTTTTTTTTTTTTTTT